CAACTTTAAGACTTGTGGACTTCAACTCCCAGAATTCCTCAGCCAGCGTTGCTGGCTGAGGAATTCTGGGAGTTGAAGTCCACAAGTCTTAAAGTTGCCAAGGTTGGACACCCCTGCCTTAGACTGAGCCCAAGGATGAGCCGAGACCCAATCAGAATCTCTACATTTCTGACACACACACCCCCAGGCTGAAGCAGGGGCAGGCAGGCAGTCCAACAAACCCTTTTCGTCCTCCAATAAAACACCCCGAACGCAGGACAACAGAGTCACGGACCATGAGAACAAGCAGCTGTCCAGTGCATGGGGGCTAGTTGCAGACTGGATGCTCTGCATCTCTTGCTGGACCCCCTCGGGGAGCGTTCAGGGCTCCGTTAGGGAGGCGAAGAGGCGCAGAGCAAGCCAGCTCTGGTGTAGAGGGAAGGGAAGGGCCAATCTCCAGGGGCTGGCAGGACCAGACATGGCTCTCCCCCTCCTTCGCTGGGCTCCCAGCAGCAGCCACAGAGCAGCTCTCCCACGGGCTGAGGAGACGCCGGCCGGGGACTTACCTGCTTTTGGGCAGAAGCGCCAATGTGCACTTGGCAAAATTTGACGGCTTGTTCTAGAGCAGCCGCTTCATCAACCTGTGGGCAGAAATCACAAGGGGGAGTCAAAGGAGACCCAAGGGGCTTCCTAAAAGATATCCCGCCAGCCCCGCCTGGGATCCCCAGAACCGTCTCAGGCTCCCCCCCCCCCGGCGAAGCTCTGTCCTAGGAGGGACTCAGCGGGTTTCTCTCGATAGAAAGAATGGCTTGGCCTCCGAGACAACCCCTCTGGGGACAGCCCGCCTTTTTCACGGCTGGCAACGTTGCTTCTTTTTTGTAATGGTTTTGGTTTCAGTTGGGACAGTGCTTGCTTATTTTATTTAAGGACGATCTGGGTGGATCATTTATTTTTAAAACGTAGGTCTTTGTAACGCACCCTGGGGTGAAACTAGTAAGAGTCTGCAGAGCGGGCAAGGCCTCTGCTGCTGCTGCTGTTCCTCTGGCTTCCCTTTCCTCACCCATTCCCGGATGCCAAGAGGGCAGCTGCGGGCGCCATTGCAAGCCAACACCTCATGAGCCCTCGACTCACTTGCTTAATGAGCATGTAGGTCTCAGACATGATCTTCTCAATTTTGCCCAGGTCGTAGGTCATGACCTTCTGCCCTTGCTGCCACACGCGGTAGGCGTCCAGAAGAAGGGTCTTCCCCGACTCCGTGTCCCCGGCCAGCTTCCTCTTCCGGTTGGCCTTCTGGCTAGTCTCCTCTGTGGGGCCGGCCTGGCCCTTCCCTGCCTCCAGCTGCTGGTGCTTGGAGCTGATGCTTAAGTCCTCCAGGGACAGCTCTGCCGTGGTCCGGCTCTCGGGGGCCTTGTCCTTGCAGATCTTGCCAGGGGGCAACTGGGCCGCCTCAGGATAGAGAGAGAAGGCCTCCATTTTTTCAGGCTCAGCAGCGAAGTGGTCGCACTCCATGGGTTCAGCAGGGCCCGATGGAGACGCTTCTTTCGGGGGCTTTTCCGGCTTGCCCTCATCTGGCTCCATGGCACTGAGAGGCTGGTCCTGGCCCTCTCCTTGGGCCACATCCTCAGTGCTGTAAGACGCCCCCTCCTCTCCGGACAAGGCTGCCTTTGGGGGCAGGGGTTCCTGACCATCCTCCGCACTTGCCTTGTGAAAGACATCGGTAGTCATCCTTGCCTCCAAAACGTCACAGCACTGGCCGCTTTGATCTTCGGAGACCTTCGAGGCAAACAGAGTTAGCCGGCTGGATTGCCACAAGAGTCTGCATCGTGGGCGGCACGGGAGGACTTACCTCGGTGAGCTCATGCAACATGTCCTCTAGCACCATCACGGTGAGAACAAAGGCGCGCTGGGCAAGAACCTGGCGATCCGCATCCCGCAAGTATTTCCTGTAGCGTGGAAAGGAGGCGCCGAACAAGTTAGATGCAGGAGCTGCCCATCATTTCAAGGGGATCCGAGCCGCCTGCCACACTCCACGCTTGCACCATCATGTTCTCCCAGGCCTTACAGGGCAGCGGCTACTCGGATTCAGTCGCGGGTAGAGTAAAACCTTCCATAGTTTTATATTCAGCGAGACTTTCTATCCTTAGCCATAGACTCACTTACAGAGTTGCCTGGCTGAAGTTAAAACCACACGACTCCAAATGGCAACAGAGCCTCCAAGTCTAAAAGCCTCGAAGGGACAATTTCTGGCCTCCTGTCATCCCCAAGAACCGGATGACCAACGGAGGAGGGTTCGTGTTCCTCTTTCTGGAACTGGCCTGGCCTGTTAGACTTTTATGATGAAACTTTGCCCTGACTACATGATCCCCTGACAGGGCTCCATTTCTATCAAAATAAAAAATAAAAATCTTTGGGCTATCAACTTGCAAAGGCTGCTAACAAACACTTGACCCAACTGCCCCCTTTTCCCCCAAAGAAAGCTTCAGTCCGGTGCCATCTATTCGAAATGCTTTGGGCAACTTGGGGAAAGCGCCAGTAGCGTTAATCAGAGGCAGAAACAAGGTAATGGGTGCAGCACAGAAGCCCGTGGCTTTTCCTAAGCTCTGATCTCCAGGGCGGATTTGTTTGTTGGGGTTCCCAGCCCCAAAGCTCAACTCCCAGCTCAGGAAGGCACAGGTGACCCAAGGAAAGCCATCTCCGGTTTTGGGAATGCTACCCTTCCCTCCCCATGGGGTTATCTCTGGGACCTCCTCCCCCACCAACAAAGCCTGGGAAATCCCACAACAGGGCACTCACTTTCCCTGGTCGGGGGTCCTCTGCAGCATAGAGCAGATTTTCAGCAAAGTGGGGTAATCTTTGAGCTGGGACAGCACGTTCAGCAGCAGGACAATGGAGCGGTTCATATGAGAGGCGAAGCTACCGGGACGGTCGATTTCATCCACGGGGATGCGCCAAATTCCCTGTGCAGGAAAGCAAGAGGAGGAGGAGGAGGAGGAGACCTTCACTAACGGGCCATGCTCGTCCCTCTTGGATGCTGGCAGGCAGAGGGACCCGGCCTCTCGAACAGGCTGGCTTCCCAGTCTAGTCTGCAGCTGGGCCACTGGAGAAATCTTGCTCACAGCCGCAAGCCGCCTTACCCAGCGCAAGGCATGTGTGCTTGCAGAAAATCTACTCTTGTGATTTGAACTCAGCTATTCAAGCTTAGAGAGAGAAAGGGAGAGAACTTGTCCGATGATTTGGGTCCTAGCCAACTGTGGTCAGTTGTGGAAGAAACAGAGAGAGACCACAGCAAATGTCGGTTAAGGTGCCGCCAATACTGGGGCAAGACCAGGACCAGGTCTTGCTAATTCATAAAATAATTCAGCTAATTCATAAAAGCTAATTCAGGGGAAGGAATGGAGGGGGCCTGTCCTGCACCCAGGTGGAAACGGGCAGCTGAGGATGCAAAGGAGGCCCGTCGGTTGCCTTGGAGGGTGTCTTAAGGGCCAGGACACCTGCTGGCTGCTCCAAGGGGACCCCGGAGACGATTCACCCGACTGGGCCCCGGCAATCCTGAGGCTCCCATCATTGAAAGCCCCCCCCCCCCCCCCCCAGCAGCCCTTGGTCCTCCGGGCATTGGAATCCGGCTTGTACGGGAAGGAGGCGAGGCAGGGCCGCTCTACGGCCGGTGACTCCGGATGCCCGAGTCGGGCTCGGCGGCTGCGCCAGCATCTCCTGGTACCGAGAAGCGCCCGCGAAGAGCGGCCGGGAGGGCCGCCGCTCTCTGTGCGCCCGGTCGGAATTCAAAGCGGAGCCGCCCAGGAAGGGAGCCAGCGAGCGCGGAGGCGGCGACACCGGCCTACCGGCCCTTCAGCAGCCGCCGCCGCCGCCCGCGCCCGCCTTCCTTGCCGGGAGCGGTCGCGCCGCCCTCTCCCCGCCGACGCCTGCCCGCCCGCCCGCTCACCATGTCGGCCGGCCGCAACCAGCGGCCCCCGCCCCGCCAGTCCCCGAAGAGCGGCAGCGGCCGGGCCGGGGGCGCGCGCGCGGGAGGTGGGTGGGTGTTGTGGCGCCGCCTCTGCCTCCGCCGCCGGGGCTCTCGCGGCCGTTTCCGGGCGGCGCCCGTGCGTGGCTCCGCGGCCGCGGGAGGAGGAGGAGGAGGACGGAGTGGCCGCGGCCTCACCCGAACAGCTCGCCCCGCCGCCGCCCGCCTCTTTCCCGCGGTCGGCCCGGCCTGCGAAGCGAAGCCCGTCCCGCGGAGCCCCTCCTGCGCGCCGCCTACCTCCCCGGCAGAGAAGCCGCGACCCGCCGCGCCGCCCGGCCCGCTGCCCCCGCGGGAGCCGAAGGAGGGCGGCGCTGCGCTCTTCTGCCCGCCGCTCCCGCCTGGATCGCCTCGGGGAGACCGGCGCCTTCCCGAAGCCCCCCGGCGCCTTCCACCCCGCGGCGGCACCTGCTCGGCGCGGCCGCTACGAGGCTGAGAAAACGGCGCCTCCGGCTCCGCGCCCCGTTTCCCTCCAGACGAGCGTTTCCCCGCTCCCCTTCGAGCAGGAGGGCCGGGAGCGGGGGAAAGAGAGGGGCCGAGCGGGGGTTCCTCTGCAGGCACCACACGTCGTCCCCCCCCCCCCCCGCCCCCAACACAGGCCTTGGGCAGAAAGCGGGGAGCTCCTGAAGGAGACCCCCCCCCCAACCCCTGACCTTGAGGGGATG